ATCTTCACAGCTAACAGTCTACCTACACAGCTAACAACCACCTTCACAGCTAACAACCACCTTCACAGCTATATTTTGCTGAACACGCCCTTAAAAACATTAAATGGTAATTATACATGATTGCACAACAACACAAAAAACTTATTGTGGAGCTAGTCCACGGGAGGCCAATTACTTTTTTAGGTACAAAAATGATTAGAAATCAATAATCTTAGTTAGTGACAATTATAAGCCTAACATAATGATTGGATAGCCAATTTATGGATGATGATTTATCATGGTTTTCTAAGGGAATAATATTATGTTCGGTTAGTGTTGTGCACTTGAATGAAATCCTATCCCATTTAACCCCTATCTATGCCTATCATTTGCTTTTGTTCGAATAACCACTTTCTAATTCATAATCATGCTCTACAACTTAAATTAATAGACATTTAAAAACATTTACATAATAATAATAATAATAATAATAATAATAATAATAATAATAATAATAATAATAATAATAATAATAATAATAATAATAATAATAATACCTCCGTTAATTGTTATCTGCAACTTTGGAATATTTTATCTCTCATAAATAATACCCTAAAGTTGCAGATAACAATTAACGGAGGTAGTAATAATAATAATTATTATTATTATTGTCAAAATTTATACACAACTAGAAAACAGGAAGATTTCGACAGACTGGTTCTGACGGACACGAAATTCCGTTGAATAATTCCGATGGAATTGTTCCGACGAATTCAACAATTCTGACGGATTTATAATCCGTCAGAAATTTCCAACGGAATTCTCCGTCGAAATATAATAAAGAAAAAAAATTAAAACTTTTTACCAAACCCTAAAACGTAAATTTCTGCCTCTCTTTCTTCTCTCCTCTTTCTCTCTCCTCTTCTCCTTCGTTATCTGCTGCTCTTCTCCTTCTCTTTCTCTCCCCTCTTCTCCTTCTTTTCTACTACTCTTCTCATTCTTCTTTCTCTCTTCTCTTTTCTCTTCTCCTTCTCTTTCTCTCTTCTCTTTCCTCTTCTCCTTCCCTTTCTCTCTTCTCTCTCCTCGTCTCTTTTCTTTTTCGCCGGTGTGGGGTTGGGGGGGGGGGGGTTCATGACGTCGATTTGGTTTTCTTTCTCGCCGACATGGAGGTGCGGTGTTCTCTAGAAAATAATGGTTTTTTAGGATCTAGAGTTTTCATGGTCGAATTTGGCAATATTAAACCAAATTCTAGGTGACATTCAAAGCCAAATTCGATTTTAAAGGTATGTTTTCTTATTTTTAAATTTTTTTTTAATTGTTTTGTTAATTTTTGAGTTGTGATTGTTGTTTTGGTGGGTGATTGGTCGGAAACTCGGAATAGGTAGGGTTAGGGTGGTAGTTTTGGGTTTTGTTTGGGTGGTTTTGAGTGATAGATATGGGTTAGTTGGGTGGTTTAGGGTGGGTGGGTTCGGATTAGGTAGGTAAGGTGATAGATCTGGGTTAGTTGGGTGGTTTTAGGTGGGTTAGGATTAAGTTGGTTAAGGTTGTGGGTCTGGTGGGTGGGTTCGGGTTAGGTGGGTTAAGGTGGTGGATTAAGGTGGTGGATCTGGTGGGTTAAGTGAAGGATTTATGTCTTCATCAAGTGCAATTACTAGATATATCAAGGATCATTTTTATGGAGATAATTAGTTCATTCTTTTGGGTCGTTATTGTTTGTTGCTAGATATGATAAATGATTGGGCTAGTCAAACAGTCCAAAACCCAATAGAATAGATCATATCACACAAGGGTTTTGGATTGAACAAGTATGAAGCCCATTAATGGGCCTCATAAGGTAATGTCAAGCCACATAATAAGTTAGGCTAGAGTATTTGGTTTGGGTTAGGAGTTTAGGCTTCACATGGACTCTAATTATATATGTGATATATAAATAGAGGCCTTGCCTAGGTTATGTATACAAGTCACAATTAACCCATACAGTGAATTGTGAAGCAAGCAACCAAAGCTCTCTAACCCCCTCTCTCACACGCCTCTCTCCTCCTCTCTCCCTGTCCGTACAGACGTCGGCCCCCTAGTGGCTCACGGTGGTGGTGGTGTTGGTTCGTGGTTCATTCATTCCTCTCCTCTCCCTAAAAGGTTGATTGAAGGGTTCAATCACGACTAACTAGCATTAGTGGAGGTTCAATCCTTGCCCGTGGACCAAATAGAGGAATCACGTTTGGGGTTTTAGTTCTCCTTATTGTTCTTGCTCGATCACTCGTGGAATCACGTTTCAAAGGTATAATTATGTGTTCTTTATGTGTATGCAAAGATCTTGATTATTAGATGCTTATAAATATGATTCATGTAATTCCGCTTATATTTAAAGTCCTACATTAAGGTGGTGCGACTGGTGGGTTAAGGCGAGTTGATTTCTTACGCGTAGTGGCGGTGGGGGCTGGAAGCGGTGCTGCGGTTAGTTTTTTTTTTAAATTTCTTCGTTAAAGTTTTCGACGGAATTTTCGTCGGAAATTTTCGGTGGAGTACATTCTGTCGGAAATTTCCTACGGACTTTTCCAGGTCGAAAAACTTCTTCCGACGGACTGAATTCCGTTGGAAAAGGTAGTGTTTCCTACAAATGCTTTTCAGACAATCGGTTCCGATGGAAATTCCGTCGAAAAACGGTTTTCCAACGAAAAACAGGGTGTTTCCGACGGAATAATTCCGTCGGAATTTGCCTATTTTTAGTAGTGATATATAAATTAGTGTGTGGTTTGGGTGTTGCATATATATGCACCAAGTTGCTACTTTAGTGTGTGGTTTGGGTGTTGCATATTCACCAAGTTGCTACTTTAAAATACCGGAAAAACTTGTGTGGACCTGGTTCACAATAATATTATTTTGGACCCGAGATTCATACACGCGTAAGTGACTGTATCTTGAACATAGTGACCCATAATCTTAATATAGTAATCTTAATCTTAACATAGTAAACTTTATTAAAACTTGTTTATATGACCTTTATATTATTGTGAATCTAAAGTACGACGAAATGTTGAACATAATTGAATAACCCTAATTATAATATAATGACCTTTATTAATCATATTAGCTAAAATATAAAAAAATTCATTAGAAAAATAATTGACCTATTAGGACCTTTATAATAACACATTGACTTTTATTTTAACATAATAACCTTTATTTTAACATAGTGACTTTTTTTTTAATTAATAAAATGACTATAATATCTATAATATAGTATTAGTGGTTGCTTCAAAAAAAAAAAAGTATTAGTGGTCCACAATAAATTAATGTGAACCATGTTTATTTAAGAGTTTGCATTAAAACATAATGTTAGTAACAAAGAAGATTTAAATAGAATAACCATCCATTCTTGTAATTGTTGAGGCTATTCCTCTTTATTTATATAATCTAGGCTACATAATTATTTTTTTTCTTCCTTTTTTGGGCTTACTTAAAGATATACCTCCTCTATTGTTATTTACTTGCAAGTAGTTGCAACACAACCTTGTGACACGCATTTTAAAGTCAAGATTATACAATATAAACGAATAAATTAATCAAAATAATTTTAATACATGGTTCCTAATCCTTCCCTATTCCCGATGTTAAAATTATTTTAATGAAATCATTTGCTTACCTTTAATAATCACCTAAAAAAGTGCGGGCCTAAAGACTGTGTTGTAAATAAAAGAAAACGAAGAAAATATTTATTTATGTGTATATAGAGGCACAAATATCTTTAAAACATAATGTTATGAAGAATTGTGATTTTATATCCTTGGGGTTTGCTCGTTTAGGGGGGGGGTAGTTTTACCAAACTACCTTCAGTGTTCAAAGCTTGTGAGATATTTTTTTCCCATATATTTTGATATGGAATAAGTCATTGTTCACTTCACCTTTAAAAAAATATTACAAAGTAAAAATAAGTTCATCAGTTCAATAATAATAAATCCAAGTCAATAAATATAAGTTTAGTTCAGTAAAAGTCACTAATGTTCAGTAAAAGTAATTTCAGTTTCGTAAAAATAAGATGAAAAGAAAAATCAAACTATATCAATTGTTCTAAAACAAGTAATGTGGCTCTGTTCACTACATCTTATTTTTGCTGAACTGAAACTATTTTTATTGAATTGAAATTATTTTTGCTGATTCTCAATTATATTTCCTCTTTAAGGTTACTGGTTTTTTTACTGAAGTGAACTTAATTGTAATAAACTTAACTTATTTTGACTGAACAAAATTTATTTTTACTGAATTTAAATTAATTTAACTAAATATTTTTTTTAAAAGTGAAGTGAGCATGACCTATTGTTTTACAAATTCAACCCAAATACCTAAAACTCCAAAATCATAAAATTGATGAATAATCGTGACATGAAAAACGCTACAAAACTGTGACAGAACATGTGAAATGTCATTAAAGTCAGATTTTATGTCACATGATCGATTTTTCAATTTTGTGCATTAATCATTCACGGAAAACGCTGGGAATTCGTTCACTACTAACTAATCCATATCAGGTTTCCAAAACGTTTGCAAGTCCATCTGCACCCAGGATCTCGTCTAGTATACAGAACGTTTTCACAAACAATACGTTATAATTATAAGCGAAATTTTAATCCCTATATTTATCAATTACATTAATCATGTACTAACTTTTACTATAGTCGTTACTACGAGAAATATAAAATACATGTATGAAAAACAAAGGTTACTACGTATGTAAAATGTTGTTAAATACAAGTACATATTTATATATACTACATATATAAAGTTGTGTACAACTTAAAATCAATTTTTTTTACCTCTATATAGTTTTACTACAGTAGTATTTAATTGTAAATGGTCAAACTAATACGTTTATATGTGTCAATTTTAAATGTGTCAATTCTCCAGATAAGGATGTAATTTCCCATCTCTCGTCCTGTTAGAAGAACAAATTTCATTTTTAAGACGAGCATACTAAAACTTTTTGGTCCTCAAATAAATTACTAAACCTAAAATTCCAAAAAAGCTTAAAAATAGTCCAAGTTTATAGAGAGATTTATTTAACAGAATTCACCGCTGTACAAAACAAAATAAGATAGAAATAAAAAAAACTATCTAAACAAAAAAATAGAGCACCCCTGTTTGATAAACAGAGGGCTTATAGAAACTTAGATCATTCTCCTAACGCTTTTTCATTCACGATTTTATGTTCGTCATTCTTTATCGATTCTTCCCCTCCTCGCCGGGCTTTATACTCGGCTTCGGAACCTTTCAAAGGACTTGAGGAGCAGTATTTGATCTTGCATATTTTTTAGCAGAAGAGTGAGATAACTCTCCAGACCTTCTCCTAAGCATTTGGCGCATACCATCAGCAACCCTCGAAGCCGGGCTAGACTTGTAGTTGCTGCAGAAAGACATGTGCGCGCTCACAGCATTTTCAACCCCCGCTCTATTTACCTCGTCTCGCACCGCTACGGAGCATAACCCACATAACCATTTTCCATTGAAGTTTGCCTTTACTGCATCTATGTATTCTACTGTGCATTCCTCTTTCAGTCCACAACACTCACACTTTACTAGCTCTACCTCCATTATTTATTTTATATTTTACTTCTTTTGAAATAAAAAGGGGAAAAATAGGTTTAGTTTTGAGGATTTTGGTTGAAAACTAGAGGGTTTTTTTGTGGTGAAGTATGAGTAGTAGATGTTTGTAAGGTGAGAAGAGAGATAGCAAGCTAAGAGAGAGGGGATGAGAAGGAGGAGTATATATAGTGGTGGGGAAAATCAGCCATAATTTGCTGCATGTTCTAAGGGAACATGGGTAGTGGGGAAATAAGACAAATGGGGTCACCTTTTTTTTGGGTGGGATACCTAATGTGTTGATTAATCGTTGCATCATTTAACACTATCATATTTGTCACCAAAAATATAAAATAAAAATTATAAAACAAAATTTGGGTGATTCCTGTCAAATTGACATATTCTGTTCACTTTATTTGTACTGATTTAAAGAGGAATATTTCTTAGGGCAGTGATCCAGGGGTCGCCTCGCATCCTCAGGGTACAGGTTCGAGCCTCACCATGAAATTCCCCTTCCCTACCCTTTGGCATTACCAGCCATGTTTTGTGGTAGGAGCCTTTGGTTGGGACCCAATTAACCTTACTGTATAATTTTTTTTTTTTATTTTTTTATTTTTTATTATTGTTTCAAAAAGAAATGTTATGTAATCCAAACTCCAATCCCTTGTAAAATGACCATTTTATGATTTGTTTTTTTTAGGCTTGTTCATTATTATTTTTATTTTTTAAAGTGTATCAGTATGACCAACACATAAATTTAGGAATAAGAGTTAAACAAGGTAACAAGGAATTGTTCTCTGTTTACCTTATTGTCACTTATTTTAGATGTAAAAATTCAAATAAGTTCAACATTACTAAGTTCTGATAAGGATTATCCAAGTAATAATTACAATAAGTTTTAATAAGGTCAATAAGTTCATTCAGGTAAGTTCAAATGAGATAAGATAAGTTCATATAAGGGAAAATCGATCAGGTAAATTAAACACACCTTAAGTGAGGTTTGTTGGGAATTAAAAATAATAGAAAAGATATAGTGGTGTAATAATTTTTTAGAAGTAAAAAATGTAAAAGGAGAGAAATAAGTAAAAATAAAATAAAAAGTATTCGCTTGGTAGAAATGGGGATCCCAATTTACTGTTGGTGTAGTGGTGATTGAGACTATACTTGGTAGGGAGGAATGTCTGTTCGATCCCCCACAACAGCAATTGGGAGGGAATTGGAACCTAACCACCCAAAACTAATCCCCAAATCCGAATTAGCCCAAAGGGTGAAGCGGGTGGAACAAAAAAAAAAAAAAGTCCAAAAAAAGAAAGTTATACACTTATAAAAAAAACGATCAAGAAAGTGATGCACTTAAATAAAATAAATAGAGGGAGTAGCAAAATCCATATGGTTTATCAATAAAAGCTTCCAATCTAATATTTAAGGTGTTTAATTGAGGTACTCCGTAGTTGACATGTTCGTACCGTAAAAATGAACAATTAGGTGTTTTAGATTAAGACTTTGCTCAATTTACCTTATTTTTACTTGTTCAAGAAACTTAATTGATAAGGATTTAGTAGATTTCATATAACAAGTTCATTTAATATAAGTTCAATTGAATTCAAATAATTTCTACAACAACTTAAATAATAAAGGTAAGTCATGAGGTGAATAAATATATTCAGAGGTACCTTGCCTTTAAGAAAGGAAATTTTGTGTAGAAGTACCCGCAAGATAGGGTGATTTGTGAACAACTACCCATATTTTTTTATTTGTTTACAACTATCCGCAAGTTTGAAAACATTTGGGTAGCACTACCCATTAACGTTTTTCGTCCAATTTACCCGTTAGTGGGCCCACTTTTTAACTTTTCCCACCCAATTTACTCCCCCCCCCCAACTACCTTCTCTCTCTCCTAATTTATTTCCCTCCATTCTCACTCTCTTCTTTCACCTTCTTCAATTGACCTCGAATCTCTAACCTAAGCAGCGAATTTTCACCATCATCTTCACCTCCTTTTCAGAAATTTGGCAGCCCTACCAACCTTTTCTTTGTTGTCTCTCTCTCTTCCAACATAACTCATCTTGTTGCTTTTTTGGGTAACTCGAAGTAAATGAGTGAAATTACAGCAATGGAAAAGGGGGAAAGTGAAGTAAATATACAAATTAATGAAGCAAATCAAGGACGAACAAGGTACATTGGTGTATTCACCTTAAATTTCTGTCCTTTTCCGTAAATAATGTAGAAATTATTCAAACCCTAAATATTTAAATACTCGAAATTGGAACCCTAATTTTTTAATTGACAAAATTGACTGGACAATTAAACAATTACAACACTTTATCACATAATTAATTAACGTTAAACTTGATTGAGGTTGTTGTTGAGCTTTGATAATTGTGCATTAGTTGCTTGGTTGTTTGCCCTGCTTATTTTATGCTATGCATGTTGTTTGACTGAATGTAGTCACATTGTTATGTATATTTACTGTTATCAATGATGTAGGGAACTTCCATCATATGTTGACATGAATATCTGGGTCAGTGGGGAATTCGAATACAAAAAAGGTAAGACAAAATATTTGGGGGGAGGGATGTTTATGAGATTGAGTTGTTCGTTGAAGGAACTTAATGTTGGGAATTTGAGGAAGTGGGTGATCCAAGCATATGATTTAGTGTGCAGTAGGGTACCCCAGAATTTCAGTGTCTGGTACAGGTTACATGACAGAAACTTGACTAATGGAAGGAGGAAGGTGGAGACATTTGATGACATTATCAATTTGGTCAACAGTAGGGATAAATTTGATAGAGTTGTAATTTGGGCCTTAGTTGAGAAACCAAACCCAGTCCAGCAACTTTAACAGGGCCTAGGTCCAAGGACAAAGAACTTTAGCTTTGTACCTACTTTGACACCTAAACCAGAACCCCCAACTTCTTCTGTTTTACCATCTACCAGCACAAAATTGAAGCTCATTAAAAAAGAGGTTAAGCCTGTTAGGTGGAGCTTGAGGTTATCTCCCAAAAAAGGCAAAGTAGATGATGATGATCTGATGATGATGATGGGGAAGTTGTAGTGATCACCCAAGCTGAGTATAATAGCCATTTCAAGCAACTATAGAAAAGCCCAATGTTATCCACACAAAGCTCTCAGCCTTCTTTGACTGTTAGTCCACAAAAACTAGCCACCTTCCTAGTTCTTCTTCTCTTCCATCAGTGAACCCTAGCAGATCATCTACACTTAAATCACCTACCCCAAGAAAGAAAACAGTTTCTCATAAGGGAAAGTCAAAGAAAAGTGTAGCCACAAAGGGAAAGCAAGTTAAGGGTAAGGGTACAGGAAAGGTTGATAGAAAGAGAAGTTCAAAAAGAGTGATTGAACTAGGTGTTGATGGGGAGGACTGGAGTGGAGAGGGTGAGTGGTCTGATGAATTTGAGTGGTCAGACCTAGATCCAGACTTTGCAGTTGAAGGAGAGGACAACTTAGAAGAGGAAGTTGATCAGAAAACTGTTGAAGCCGAGATAAGGCAGGAAGATTTGAATGTAGGTGATGTTGTGGAGGTAGAGTATGACTCAGAAGAACTAAGGAGTCTTCAAGGCTCAGATGAAGAGGTATATCCTAATCCCACTTTTAATCTTGAGGTAGATTACAAAATAAACATAAGCTTTGTTAAAAGGTTGAAGTTTCCTATTGTTGAAGTTGTTAGAAAAGCAATTAGGTGTCATAGCATTGAAAACCATTATGATTATTATTTTTTGCATAATGGGAAGACTAAGGTTAGTGTGTATTGTAAAAACAAATGTGATTGCCCATGGGAGAAGCAGCATGGGAAGATAGTGTGTAAATGTCAGTCTGAGAACAAGTGTTACTTCAAGATTCTGTTGAGGCAGCTAAGAATGGAGAATACTCTTCAAGTCAGGAATTTGAACTTAAACCATACTTGTGGGTTTCACCATGAGAGTTTAAAGGTCACATCAGAGTATTTAGCAGATAGGTATTTAGATGAATGGAAATTTGATCCTACTTGGAAGTTGAAAGTGTTCATAGACAGGGTGTAAAGGGATTTAGGGGTTCATATTGGATACTACAAGGCCTGGTTTGCTAGGGAAAGGGCTAAGTTAATTTTGTACGGTGATTCAGCTAAGGAGTATGCAAGGGTGTTTAATTATGGGCTGGCTTTGCTTAAATACAACCCTAGTTCTTCAGCTATTGTGGTGATAGAAGGGATTGAAAGGCCTCTCCCCATTTTTCAGAAGATGTATGTGTGTTTTGAAGCATGTAAAGTTAGGTTCAAGAGGGGTTGCATGCCTGTTATTGGAGTGGATCGGTGTCATTTGAAGGGTGCTTTCCCTGGGATGATACTTGTTGCTGTGAGTAAGGATGGTAACAACAATATCTACCCAGTGGCTTGGGCAGTGGTTGAAGTGGAGAACAAGGATATATGGATATGGTTCTTGGAGCTCTTAATCAAGGACATTGAGAAACCAAGAGAAAAGGGCCTTACTTTGATGTCAGATAGACAAAAGGTACTTATCTAATCCCAAACTTTGGATATTCTTATGTTATGTGGTCAGTGTATATGTAATGAGTTAACACTAAGTGTATTTGCCTGTTGTAGGGACTATTAGAAGCTTTTGCTATTGTGGTTCCTAATGCTGAAATCAGGTTCTGTGTAAGGCACATTTGGGCTAATTTCAAGCTCAAATTTGGTGGTGAGGCTTTTAAAGAGCATTTTTGGAAGTCAGCAAGGTCAACAACAAGGGTATGTGGTTGGACTTTGAAAATTGTAACTTATTTCTGCATTGTTTGCATAATCATTAAAATTACATCATTGCATTCATTGTTAGGCTAATTTTGAAGAGCATATGGCAAAGATAAAAGAGTTGTCTAAAGATGCATTCCAATATTTAGATGTAATTCCAACTAGGCATTGGGTTAAATATGCATTTTTCACATATAGCAAGTCTGATATGCTTTTAAACAACATATGTGAAAGCTTTAATGTTGTATTGACAGATGCAAGAGACTAATCAATAATCACATGTCTAGAATGGATTAGGAGGTATGTCATGAAGAGGAACACTCAGAAATGGGAGGGTGTGCAAAGTCATGAAGGCAGATTTATGCCTTATGTTGCCAAGGTGTTCCAATTTGTGTCACAGTTGGCTAGCAATTGTGATGTAAATCCTTCCAGGCTAGACATATGGGAAGTGGACTACTACAATGTCAGGTATGTAGTAAATCTGGTGGAGAAAACTTGTAGCTGCTATAGATGGGAGCTCATTGGGATCCCTTGTGCACATGCTTGGGCTGTGATAATAAAGAAAAGACTCAGGCCAGAGGACTTTGTTGACGACTTCTACAGCAAGGGCAGGTACTTACAGGCATACTCACCAAGTATCAAACCAATTCCTGGTATGAAACAATGGGAGAAGAGGATTGACCTGATGCAACCTACACCACCTGTCATAAGGAAAATGCCAGGAAGACCTTCCCACAAGAAAAGGAAGCAGGAACAGGGTGAAAGGGAATAAGCTGAGTCAAGCCAAAGAGCTAAGAAAATGCCTAAGTGCTCTAACTGTGGAGTCCCAGGGCATTACAAGAACAAGTGCAAGAATCCAGCACCACCCAAAGAGGTTGATAAAGGTGGCAGACCTCCATCAATGAACCCTCAAAGGAAGAAGAACTGGGATAGAGCTGTGAGAAAGGTATGTGGACATTAGATTTGGCATCTATATTTTAAGGTTACTTATTATAACATGTTCTAAAACTGTATTTGTTGTTATTTTTGTCTGTCAGGGCAAGATTAACCCTGCAATTGGGACATCCACATCCCAAGTTGCTCTTTCTCAGTCAAGCTCATAGGGTGTAGGTCCACCACAACCAAGTCAATCAACCCAACCCACTCAGCCCCTGCCTCAAACAAGTGACAAAGGCAAGTCCAAGGCAGCACCATTAAAAGCTAAGTTATGAATCAGGTCAAAAATGAAGAATCAGCCTGTGTGGAAGCCTTAGATCATTATGTGATTTAGTTATGGTCTGTATTTTGTGTTAAGAACAATCCTTATATATTTTGTGGGGCTACATGTACTTCATGGTTTAATTACATTGTTGTAGCCTATATTTTATTAAGTGTTGATGAACAAATCCACTTTGGCCTTGTAATTATTTTGGATGATCAAATGCAAGGCTTTTTCAATATGGATGTGCTTAAAATTTATGCCTTAAATTGCATTGTAAAGGTAGTAATCAAAACACAATTCCATTTCATTGTCATGACAATATTACAACCTAAAATTGATAAAGGTCAGCATTTGCACTATTTTTACATACCAAAATCTTTGACATATGCCACTTATACAGTGCAAATGTAATACCAATGATTACCTAATTGCCTACTACATCACTGTCCTTCCTAAATACACTAGCACCATTCCAATAACAATAACTATCACAATCACCTGCCTTTGCCTTCTTCATAGTAGCAGAAAGTGTCTTGCATTCAGTAAAGCAATCTCATTTTGCATCAGTTTTTTGTCCAACACAAGTTGATTTGTAACAAACGTTTGACACTCAAGTATTTCTTTATCAATCCATTTGAAAAATTTGCATCATCTTCTACCAGATGCAACATCATAGAATTTACAAGCCAAAAATCTTCTCCCGGGGTTTATTGTAGTCCACGACGTCTTCAATTTTGGTTGGATGCCGCAATTGCACTTGTTTGGATGATATTACATAGCAGAGTGGTATGAAGAATTTGACATCCTACCAATTACAATGTCAATAAGTAATTAAAATGCTTCAAAATTCAATCTCAAAGCCAAAATAACCGAATCCCACAACTCAATTGAACCCCCAAACCCTAGAAATCAAAAGCCCCAAATTCGATTGAACCCATAAATCCTAATCTGAATCACTAATTTAGACCCTATTTATGTTAATTGCATTCAATTAAAACTTGTTAACAAATGCAAAAAAACAATGAATTAGAAGGAAGGTGTGAAAGATTACCTGAATTTGCGTTCAATTGCTTGATTTCTTGAATCTGATTTTTTGAGTTATAAGGGAGGGAAAATTAAGTAGGGATGAGAGAGGAGAGAGAGAAGGTTAATGGGTAGTGCTACCCAAACGTTTTCAAACTTGCGGGTAGTTGTAAACAAATAAAAAAAAATGGGTAGTTGTTCACAAATCACCATTTAAAAATACTCCATAGTGTACCTACTCAATTTACATACCTTTATTTTATTTTTTTTAATTTAACAAATATATCCAAAATTAATACCGAGTAAATAAATTGAATAGATAAAAAAAAAAGCTTTGATGGACATTTTTCTTTTTTTTTTGGCAAAATTGGCCTCAACAATCTGAATTATGGCTTGGGTGCACCCATCCTGTACTTTGCTTAGTGGCCAAAACACCACAAACTAATGACTTGGGTGCAAAGCTCACCTTTAGTGAGTTTTCGGCCACCATTCTCACCGGAGCAGGTGAATTAAATTTTTCTTTTTCGATTTGTATGCCGAAAAATGTCCCGTAAAGGTTTCGGGGGTCATTTTAACCCTTATAGAACCTAAATTGAGCTCGAAACAAGCAAAAAAAATAGCGTACATGATTCGTTTAGCGTGTTATAAAATATCTTGATTTACGTGTCATTGTTTTTTAAGCCGAATTGAGTCATTTACGCTATTTTTTTTTTGCTTGTTTTGAGCTCAATTTGGATCCTTAAGGGTCAAAATGACCCCCGAAACCTTTACGGGACATTTTTTGGCACGCAAATCGAATAAATTCACCGGCTCCGGCGAGAATGGTGGCCGAAAAACTCATTAAAGGTGCGCTTTGCACCCAAGTCATTAGTTTGTGGTGTTTTGACTACTAAGCAAAGTACAGGGTGCTGAGTGCACCCAAGCCATAGTTCAGAGTGTTGAGGCCAATTTTGTCTTTTTTTATTTTTATTTTTATATATTATTTTATTTTATTTTTTATAGTATTTAGAGAGTTACAAGGATGGATGATGATAATCAATTCCTAAATCTTCTGAATCAGAAGGAAAGCTCTAATTACTTGAATTAGACTATCTCTCACTCTCTTTATGGATAATCAGCAAGGAGAGGGGTGTAAGGCCGGGTCAAAGCTTCCAACAAGCAACATAGACTTTACATGATAGGCTAGTCTTTTGCAGTTTTGCTGTATAAAAAAAATTAAAATTTTGAAGTATTAAACGTTGCTTCTTTTTTTTTTTTGAAGTACTAAAATTAAACGTTGCTTTAATAACTTTTTAAGTGTCAATTTCTCAGCAAGTTAATTTTTGGTCGGTTCATACGTTACTACAATCACAATCTTAATTTATTTGAAAAAATCAGGTTTCTTTAACTGCCTTATTCCTCTCATTATTTCTTCTTGTTGCAAGTAATTACTTGTATATGTTTAGCTCAACTTTATTTTCTTTCTTAAATCTTAACTCTTAAGTAATTAAAACAATATTGTAGCAAGGGCAGAATTTCAATTTTTAAACATGCAATTTTGCAACTACTATTTTACGTTTCTGGTAGTAACAATCAAGCATGGGCCGCATACTCGCAGAGTAGTACAAGTGGTAGTATGGTAACAAAGCAAATCTACTGTGAGTTCACTCAACCAAAAATTAAAGTAAAACGTTTAACAATATATATCTACATTTTAAAAGTAATAAGTATGTTCAAAAAATCATATAAAATGTCCAATAATTTATATTTGTTTTAATGTGAGTCTAAACTCACACAAAGTCTTTTTTGTATTAGACAGTAGGACACGAGACACGTGACCCCTTAATAGATCCATCTTTTCTAGCGTATCATGCTGCTGTTTTGTACGAAACAAGGGGTTAATAAATACAAGTACTACTAGTATAAGCTAAGCTACTCCGAGTATAATTTGGCCGTTACACTTGTCTAGGAGCTTGTAGTTCTTTTAGGACGAAGGAGGTGAGTGACGGTTACTTTCGGTTTGAGTCAGTTCAAATGGAGTTTTTAATTGAAGTTCTTGGTCTTTATTGATTGAATATTATTGCTGAAATAGATGAATAGATAATATAATAATATGGTGTTATCCGTTACATTTTTTATAATTAGACGAATAGGCGAAGACGCGCAATCGGTTTGGTGTGGCTTTTGTCTTGTTCTAAGCTTGAATGCAAATATGCAATTGACTGCTCTATTTAGTTTGTCCCTCTTAGCTAAAGTGGCTTTACAACATAATCTATATACTTTTACAAAAAAGTTGACAACTTTGTTGTTTAATTAATAGAGAATTCGATCTTGTGGTGGATGGTAGGAAAAGTGTATGTTTGCTTGACTACTTTCTAATGTTTCATATAAACATTTATTTGTTGCTAATAAGTGTTATTTTTAGTTGTTTCACTTTTGACAAGGTAAGGTTAATTGGACCCCAGCCAAGACTTCTACCACAAGAAGTTTGGTTGGCAATGTCGGGTAAAGGTGATCAACATTAGCTCGGCCCGCTAGCCAGATTCGAAAATAGGGCGGGTTTGGACAAGCCTAAACACACATTTTTAGTTAAAACCCGAACTCGGCCCGAAATAACCGCTTTGGCCCGATAAACCCGCTACTTTTTTGCGGATTTGGGCACAAGGAATAATGTTAAGGCTCGACCCGGCCTGATTTTTGATTACCTCTAATGCCGGGTGAGGGGGAAGCTAGGGTAGGGGATTAGTGAATGTTGAGAATCGAACCTCGCACCTCAAGGATACGAGGCAAACCCTTGGTCACTGCATCTAGTGTGTGGTTGCTACAGGTGTTTGTACCTTGCATCGTACAGACGTTTTGCGAAAAGAACATATTACACAAATGTAAATAACATACAGCTGTAGTGTAAAGAACATACTATTAAAATGTAATGAATATATACCTAAAGTAAAAAGAACATATTTGCTCTAAAAAAGAGTGAAAAGAACATATGTCCATATTTTTTAATTGTCAGTGTAATGTACTTGTATTTGTGATATAATATTCATTAGTTTGTGTAATGTTCTTTGAATTTTGTCTTTAAATTATGGTGGGTATATATGAATAATGTACATTACATAATACTTCCTCCGTTTCTATTTAGTTGACACGTTCAATTTAGGCACACATATTAAGGAGAGGAGAGAGAATGAGAGAGAATGATAAAGCAAATGGGGTACACTAGTAAATGTAAGAGAAAAAGCTTACCCAAAAAGGAAACGTGTCAACTAAAAATAAACTTCCTAAAAAAGAATGCATGTCAACTAAAAAAAAAAACAGAGGTAAGTATTATCATGTTCTTTATTAATATTAAAGTTGTTCTTTTAGATTAATATATATATATATATATATATATATATATATATATATATATATATATATATATATATATATATATATACTACCTCCGCCCACGAATATCTGCAACATTACCATGTATGGATGCTTTGAGTATCTGCAACAAATATTTTTTTTTCCTTTTTTAGTAAACTTTTACCCCATTAGTTACTGTTTTACCCTTACTTAAAAAA